GTTTGGAAAAAAAAAATAAAAAAATTCCTAAGTATTTGGTTCAATGCCATATTTTGTCCAAGTTTTTTTTACGTGGCAAGACATATTTTAGTGCATTTGTCTTACATAAAATCATAAAATTATTAAATATATTGAATATTGCATTTCAAGTACACATTAAAATCAAATAGTTAAAGAAAAAAAAATTATCTCCCTATGTATTACAAGAGAGTTGTTATTAAATTGATATATTTGTGAGTTGTCACCTAGAATAAACTATAATTATTCACCCTCAAATTCCTAAATTCTCAGAACTAATATAATTTAAAAATTCAAATTAGTAAATTAATAATTTCTTCAAATGCACAATATAAAAACTAATTTCATTGGATCTAATTGTGATCCGAGGCAAAAAATTGCTAACTTCGATGGATGCTTGTGTTAGGTCAAAATAATTAGAAAGACTGCGAATCTCACCAGCTTCTACCATTCTTAATCAAAATAAGTACTTAATTAATTAAAAACTTTGTTTCATGAATTTAATTAACAGTTCACGCTTATGCGCATGACATTGCATTAATCAGGCTTGCTGTTTTAGCAATCTTTCATCATATTATGCATAATTTGTAGGTTTGATATCAGTTTATTTTGCGAATTTCTATGTTCTATTACGGTTAAAAGATGTCATAGGAAGTTATTTATAAATGTACGATTTGTCACCAGCAAAAATATTGATACCATCTTCAATATTCAAGATTGAACGAGTAGATATTCAAATCTCTTCACCAACTCCAAGTATGCCTTGGGTAATTATATTGCGCCAATAAAAAATTATGAAAAATATTATTTATTTTCACATTGTAAACTGTTCGATTCTTTGTATTGCACAGAATTACCAGTGTACAATAGGAAAAATGAACAAATAATATCATACAAGAGAGAAAAAGTATATCAATCTTGAGGATTTGATAAGGAATTGAATGCAATATTAAATAAGGTTTGATAAGATGCATTGGAATCAAAAGTTATTGAGAATAGGAGATATTGGCAGCTTCCAAATATTTTCCAATGTGTTGGTGAAGCACAGATTTATATCATTCCTAAGCACCGGTGTACAATGCTTAACAATAGGCGGTGTAATTAGTTTTAAAACTAATAATTATTTTTTCATCGTCTATTGTAGTATGTCACATCATTCGGTGCTTAAGAAATCATGATTGATGTATATATATACACACAAATTAAGAACGTGAGATAGAGATAGATATATTGTATTCTCGTGCTCCAAACTCACTAAGATCCTTGAGAATTTCTCTATGATCGAGTCAAAGTTGTACCTTTATTATTAAGAAATAACTTTAAGCTTTCTTTCATATCAATCATACAAATCATGTAATGACATAAAAGGACAGAAAGAATTCCATATGCTAAACGCATCTCCAGTGAGGGGTCAAATTCGGTGTAAAATCCTCTCCGATGAATTTGGTGAAATAGTGCAAAATTTGGTGAAATGAATAGTATTACTCCAAATTTGAGAATTTTCAATAACTCCATTTTGTCCTTCTGTCCTTCTTTCCACTTTACAATAAGTATTATTCCATCTATATCCCTCTTTTATATTTTAAAATTAATAGATTTTAATTGATTTATAATTGTTTTATTGTGATGGTTATTTTTATTCATTTATATTTAAATTCTAATAAATTAGTAAGTTATAATTATTTCAATAATAAATTAAAATTGGTCTTGTGTTCAATGTAAAATTTTAATTGCAGTAATATGTTTAATATATTTTTCAATGCATTAATAAATGCAATATTTTAGTTCATTACATTTAAATTTAAATTTTACGATTTTAGTAATAATATAATTTGTAATGAAAAATTCAAGATAAAATTTGATGTAAAACCATCTCCAATAATCTATACCAAATTTGACGTAAAATTACATCAAATTTGATGTTCCTCATTGAAGATGGTCTAATAATGTCGGATCAATTATGTACATACTGGTCCGCACCAGATCTCACCTTGCATACTTGATTAGTGTTCTTAGTAGATATAAATTGGTAAGATTTTAACTAAGGTTAGTCCAATAAATATGGGAAGTAACATTTTGCTCTGGTCAAGTTCAATGATTGTTTACAATTTTTGAACACTGGTTGAAATACTTTGCTTGCGAGTAAGTGAGCAAATGAAGAAGACAACACATAGCCTCATGTATACTGTGGTATCCCAACTAGATTAGAATTAAGTTCCTTGAATAGATGAAATATACAGGAAGCATTATAGATGATGATATGCCAACATTGGATTGGCCGGTTTTAAATTGCTTTTTGTCCAATATTCAATAAAACCAATGGATAATGTGTCAATCTGTCTGATAAAAATTTGTGTACATGTAGCATGATTGATTGAATATAGGGTGCAGATTGTTGACCAAAATTTTGATCCAGTTTTGACTTATCAATTGATAGTGACCATGGGTGAAAAGTGCTATTTAGACAAACACGTTTTCCACTAGCTGGGTATGCCTCTTCCTGAGATGGTGACACATTGTATGGTTTTCAGCCATTTGATGTTGCTTGTGAACTTCAACAATATCGATCTTTATGCTCCATGGGTGATTAGGAATTAGATTCGCTAAACATTTGGATCTTAGGACGAAAAGTATTCGTGTTCTTTACTGCTTTATGTTGATCCCGCGAATTGGACCCTCTACGTGGCCAATCGAGAGCCACTCCACGCCACCGCTGGAACCGACCAAATACGCTTGACCGTTTGTTGTTGCGTGCAGGAAGGAACACGTGGTATGACTCTTGATTGGCCACTTGGAGAGTTCAATTCGCATGGTCAATACTTTCTATTTTTATTTTTGTGCTATTGGTAATGGTTAGATTAATTTGGGACCAACACATACCTCTATGAAAGCTTCAAGGTTTAGTCTATGTGATATCAAGATTTCGATTGTCAATAATTCAAGTTAGAATGTTTTGTAGAAAGAAAAAACAATTCACAAGGAAATCTCTTTTCTTTTATGTCACCTTTGTCAATCTTATTGAGGTCGACGAGTATAGTTTAGTTATAATGTATTCTTTGTCCTATGTCACCTTGTCAACCTCAACAAGGATAGAGAGTATAGTGTATTTATAATGGCTTCATTGTCCTACTCAAGGTCATCAAGGTCGACGAGGACACTTACAAGTTACAACATTTATATTATGGCCATTCCAATAATTGTTGTGTAACTTATTGGAATTAAATGACGCTATTAAATAGTTATGGTAAGGAATTTTTAGTCAACTTTAAATAACTTTTTAGGTGAATCACATATCTAATTAACCGTTTTAATTAAGTGGTAATTAATTCTCGTCGTTGGCCAGATTATGTTGATATATTAAGTTGCTAAACGAAGATTTCTATGAATTGGAATAAATCTTCAAAATACTATGTAGAAAAGATTTAAATAATCATTGACAAATAGATGAAGTGTTACACTTTCTTAAGTTGTAATTTTGTACAATTCCCTGATCTACACTCTAGGGTCCTAGGCCATATAAGTGGTTCTACGTACCACCTGCGCCCGCTGCTCTGGCTATGGCTGCACACGTAGCAAAGATGGCTTTAGAGGCGCACTCACGCATTTCTCACCAGGAGCTTTAAAATTTTCAAAATGAAACCATGTTTCAATGACTCGGAAAGGGCTTAGCGATCAGTGTATGCAGAGTACAAGTCAACGTCCACCTTGGTAATTGGATGAGAACAATGAGAAGTTATTGGTATTAGATGCGATGAGAAAGTGTGACCAATAAGTTCGAATGTGTGAATATTGAAGGGATAAGGAACATCTGAAAGGTTTGATTTGAACGGTTAGTGATTGCACTCTAATTTGATATGATGCAATCTGACAGTCCAGGTTCATCATTGACAATTTTATCATCCCAAATCAATTCAATATCCATCTCTCCTAATTCTGTAAAAATAGTTTCCATATTATTTTGAAGTTTTTAAATCTTGCCAATTAGTGTTTGAAATTTTATGAATGTTAATATTTAAATTAGACGAGTGTTAATATTTAAATTAGACGAGCATAATTGTGCTATATTAATTTTTTAGTTCAATTTCATTTTTTCTTCCCTTGATTGTCTAGTCGAACTAAAAAGATATATATGCCCCGTTTGAGCAGTATTCTTTTAGAAAAATATATTCTTAAATAGTAATTTGACATCGTTTTAATCACACATTCTTCGATAGAATAATATTTCATATAAATTCAAAACTTTTCCTCATCTTTTAATTACACATTCTCCATCAATGTTTAGGCACGCACAGGCGAGAGATGAAAGAGCCCCCTTTTATTTCAAAATACATTCTTTCAAAATAATGTGGCTCAAACACATACATAATATAGACCAGAGTAAGGAGTGACGCCTTGACAGTGTCTATTCTCTATTCATTTTGCAAAAACCATAAAGGGGGCGTTCGTTTCCTTTTTTTGTAAAAATGAGAATGAAAAATATAACTGTTATAAGCCTCAAATAGAAATTCAAATTTGATGAATTCATGTGATGAATATTGATTATATTTTTCATTTTAATGGAAAAATAATGAGAAACATGGACTAAATATAAGAATACAAACACTGAGTTGTGTAGTTGTNTGATTATATTTTTCATTTTAATGGAAAAATAATGAGAAACATGGACTAAATATAAGAATACAAACACTGAGTTGTGTAGTTGTACCCAACCGGTCTTCAAAACTCTCGTGTTTACTCGTAAAAGAACCCTAAAGAATCAACCCACACGTACTAGAACTCATTTTGAGTCTTTGACAAGTGTTTGTTTATCGTACCCCACGCTACCCCACCCCAAGCCCACTTATTATTATAATCAATTCTACCAGTAAATTATATGTATGTATATGTTGTATTTATATGTGGACAAACTCACAGTGTGTGTAATGGTGAATTGTTGCAAGGTCTCCAATGTCTAGGTATTCCTTTCTTGGCTGCATTTCTTTAGTATATTTCTTTCGGTGAACATTTTGAGTTTTTTGAGTTTGAGTTCAAATCAAGAAATACACACAGATTGAGAAACCAACAGCAAAACCCAAATTATGCAAACCCGAGAAGAAAGTTTTGGAAATTGAGGCAAATGTTTCCCCTAAGCTCGAGGCACAAATCTTATTACAACCTTGACAGTTTCAAACAAAACCAATTTTTTTCTTCATCACCACCACCTCTCTTGTTTTCTTTAACTTTCTTAGCCACCCTTTTCGCTGCCGCTGTGGCCGCCACCGCCACCAGCCATGAGGGTTCTGTACTGTTTTCATGGCTGCACAGCCCTTCTTCTTCTTCACCTCCACCACCTTTTTCGAACTGGAATGTACTTGATCCTACACCATGCAAATGGAATTACATAACATGCAATTCAAGAGGGTTTGTTACTGAAATCAATATTCTATCAATCCCTCTTGAGCTCCCTTTGCCGTCAAATCTTTCATCGTTTATATATCTTGAGAAACTGGCGATTTCTGATGCAAACATCACTGGAATTATTCCACCAGAAATTGGTGATTGTACTGCACTCAAAGTCATTGACTTGAGCTCAAATGGTCTTGTGGGTATAATCCCTTCAAGCATTGGGAAGCTTCAATCCCTTCAAGATTTGATTTTGAACTCAAATGAATTAACTGGGAAGATCCCAGTTGAGCTATTCAATTGTCAAGGCCTAAAGAACCTTTTGCTTTTCGATAATAAGCTTGATGGAAACTTACCATCAGAGTTAGGCCAATTATCGAGTCTGGAGGTTCTCCGGGCCGGCGGTAACAAAGATATCGCTGGAAAAATCCCCGATGAGCTCGGAAACTGCAGCAATTTGACAGTTTTAGGCCTGGCTGATACGCGGATTTCAGGTTCTTTACCGGCCTCGTTGAGTAATCTCAAGAAGCTGCAGACATTGTCCATATACACCACAATGCTCTCTGGTGAAATCCCACCTGAAATAGGTAACTGCTCTGAGCTTATGAACTTGTATTTGTATGAGAATAGTCTCTCTGGTTCAATTCCAAAAGAGATTGGCGAATTGTCAAAGTTGGAAAAATTGTTATTATGGCAGAATAATTTTATTGGGGAAATTCCAGATGAGATTGGGAATTGCACCAAGTTAATTTCTATAGATTTGTCCTTGAATTCTTTGTCTGGCATTATACCTTGGTCTATTGGTGGTTTAGTTGAGCTTGAAGAACTAATGCTGAGTGATAATAATGTGTCTGGTTCAATTCCTACTGTTCTTTCAAATGCTAGAAGTCTTGTTCAATTGCAGTTCGACACTAATCAGATCTCGGGTTTGATTCCTTCTGAGCTAGGAAAATTGTCAAACCTGGAAGTGTTTTTGGCTTGGCAGAACCAGCTTGAAGGGAGCATTCCTTCAAGTTTGGCTAGTTGTAGCAATCTTCAAGCATTAGATTTGTCTCACAATTCACTCACTGGTATTGTGCCTCCTGGTTTATTTCAACTGCGAAACCTCACTAAGCTTTTGTTGATTTCTAATGATATCTCGGGGTCGATACCTTCAGATATTGGTAACTGCAGTTCCCTAGTTAGACTTAGACTTGGAAACAATCGGATCACGGGTGGAATTCCTAAAGAAATTGGAGGGTTGAAGAGCTTAAATTTTCTTGATTTTTCTGGAAATCGACTTTCCGGGCCATTGCCTGATGAAATTGGAAGTTGCACAGAGTTACAAATGTTGGACCTAAGTAATAATACATTAGAAGGTCCCCTGCTTAACTCCCTATCATCTCTATCTGGGCTTGAGGTTCTTGATGTTTCAAGTAACCGCTTTTCTGGTCCTATTCCAGCAAGTTTTGGCCGTCTTATTTCATTGAGCAAGCTAATGTTGAACAAGAATTCGTTCTCTGGATCAATACCTCCATCAATTAGCCTCTGTTCCAGTCTCCAACTACTTGATCTTAGCAGCAATCAGCTTTCTGGCAGCATTCCTGTGGAGTTGGGTAAAATTGTATCTCTTGAAATAGCTCTCAACCTGAGTTGGAATGGACTCACCGGAGAAATCCCAGCCCAAATTTCTTCACTCAACAAGCTTTCTATATTTGACATTTCGCACAACAAGCTTCAGGGGGATTTGAGTTCTCTTGCTAACCTAGATAACCTCATCTCTCTCAATGTATCTTATAACAATTTCACCGGTTTTCTTCCTGACAACAAGCTCTTTCGCCAGTTAGCATTAACGGACCTGGCTGGAAATCAAGGCCTATGTGCTTTCGGGAGGGACTCATGTTTCTTGGGTAATGCTAAAGGACTAGGAGCGGCGAAACAAGGGAGTGAGATGAGAAGGTCGAGGGTGTTCAAATTAGCAATTGTATTGCTCATTGCTATGACAATTGTGATGGTGATAATGGGAATAATTGCAGTAATTCGAGCTCGTAGAACTATTAGAGGTGATGATGAATCGGAGATTGGAGATTCATTGCCTTGGCAGTTCACTCCATTCCAGAAACTCAACTTTTCGGTACAAGAAGTATTGAGATGCCTTGTAGATTCCAATGTGATAGGAAAAGGATGTTCGGGTGTTGTCTACCGTGCGGATATGGACAATGGGGAAGTCATAGCCGTGAAGAAACTATGGCCCACAGCAATGGCCGCAACTAATGGATGCAACGATGAAAAGTCTGGCGTTCGTGATTCCTTCTCAGCAGAAGTGAAAACGCTCGGTTCAATTCGCCATAAAAACATTGTCAAGTTCTTGGGTTGCTGTTGGAATAAAAACACGAGATTGCTCATGTATGATTATATGCCTAATGGGAGTTTAGGCAGTCTTCTACATGAGAGGAATGGGACACCTCTGGCTTGGGAGCTGAGGTATCAAATTTTGTTAGGGGCAGCTCAAGGACTTGCATATTTACACCATGATTGTGTGCCTCCAATTGTCCATCGAGACATCAAGGCCAATAACATTCTCATTGGTCTTGAATTCGAGCCTTACATTGCGGACTTTGGCCTTGCGAAGCTTGTCGAGGATGGTGATTTTGGTCGGTCTTCAAATACAATTGCAGGTTCCTATGGATACATTGCCCCTGGTAACTATTTCTTCTTTTATTCCATATATTCGATGTTGGAATGCCTTTTATTTGGTCAGTTCTACTTACCATTTTCGCATGCAGATTATACGAAGAAATGAGCCTATATGCAAATTCAAAACTAAGTAGTTAATTTTTCGCCCTTTTCAGCAAGATTAGTTGAAGTGACTGAGTTTTTGTTAATTTTGTTCATCAGAATATGGCTGCATGATGAAGATCACAGAAAAGACTGATGTCTATAGCTACGGCGTCGTTGTATTGGAAGTCTTAACCGGAAAACAAGCAATTGATCCAACGATACCTGATGGACTTCACATAGTTGATTGGGTGAGGCAGAAAAGGGGAGGACTCGAAGTTCTAGATCCAAGTTTGCTATCCCGACCCGAATCCGAGATTGAGGAAATGATGCAGGTATTGGGCATAGCCTTATTATGCGTAAACTCATCGCCCGATGAAAGACCTACTATGAAAGATGTGGCTGCAATGCTCAAGGAAATCAAGAATGAAAGAGAAGAGTTTGCAAAAGTAGATGTCCTCCTCAAGGGCTCTCCCACACCAGAAAATCACGAAAATAAGAACTCGACTGGAGTTCTGGCGACCTCATCGTCAAACCCGCCAATGCAAAGCTTGTACCAGGGAAGCGTCAACACGAGCTTCTCGGCTTCATCATTGTTTTACTCATCTTCTTCTAATATCAAAATGGGGTTCAAGTGAATAATACTTTGTATTAATAAACATAGAAAGGGATTAAATTCGACATTTAGCATCTTATATTAGTCTTTTTTCCCCCCTCAATGGTTTCGAAATTTTTGCTTGTTTTTGGGTTACATGTAAAGAAGTAAAGATGAAGATTATCATGGGAATGAATGAAGCTAACATATGCAGTTTTGTCTATTTGGAGTGTGTCTAAGGTTGATGCATAACAGGATTGACTTGTCTGTCCCAGGTTTTAAGGTTCCATTACAAGTGACGGACAAAGAAATGGGACCCACCTAGAAAATAAAATATTAATCCAACTCAAGAATGCCTCAGCAATGATCATAAATATATAGAAATAATATTAGGCTGTGTTTAATAGGAGTTGAATTCCATAGAAAATGGAATTGGAATTCCAACTTTCCAATTTTTGGGTATTTGATTTTGCCTTTGCGTGTTTGATTGGCAAAAATTTTCAACGAATTCATTTTCCACATTTTGGTGCTACATAGACCTTTTCCTTTTTATGGAGGAAAATGAATTCTCACCAAAATGGTGAGATTTCAATTTCCGGTTTACTGTAGCAACTTTATTTTAATTTTTTTTTTTTGGGTTGGCAATGGAAACAAATTTTAAGAATTATTGAAAAAAAATATTTCCCCTTAATTGACAATTTTCATGTAAAACAAAACCAAACAAACAACAAAAGATAGATGATTTTCTTGAATTTCTTGAATTTTTTTGACAATGGAAACAAATTTTATATCCAATACCAGTAAATTCCATTCATTTAATTGATAATTTTAATGTAAAACAGAGCCAAATAAACATAAAAAACCACTTTTATTTCAACATTTTTCACTTGAAAATTATACCAATCAAACACAATAATTTATATTTTTCAGGAAAATAATTTTTAGTCAATTCAATTCTCTGAAATTCTTTTTCAATTCAGTTCAATTCCATCTTTTCAATCGAACAGATCCTTACTGAAGTAGGCATTTAGCCTCCGTTTGACATCCAATTTAATGAGTTTTGCAATTTTTTTTTTTGGGACAGTATATAGTTCGAAAATAAGAAATTTAATTGTTTTTGCAATTTTTTTTTTTTGGGACAGTATATAGTTCGAAAATAGGAAAAAGTTTAAAATTTACGTGCAAAATGTCTAATCGTGTGAATGTGTTGAAGATAAGTTGGAGAAAACAGAGTCATGATTTATTGGATGTCAAACAAGGGCTTAATTATTTTGAAATTTTAATGGAATATTGAAATTTTATTTTGTCATTTTTGTGAAATATTTGGCCTCTTGATAAGATCGAAAAATGGATTGTGTTTGTCAACTCTAAATTTCATGTTTGAGTTATATTCTTTAAAATTTATTTTTGACTACATATTTTTTTAATAAAATAAATTTTTACGTAAATTTAAAACTTATTTATACTTTTTAATCATGCATTTTCCAAAATTATTCTTTACAAAATTTATTCTAAAAAAAAGTCAAGCAGGGGCTAAATTAGGGCGTGGAGCCAAAAAGATATGTTAGGGTGGACTAAAATTTAAATTTTTTCATACCATAAAAGATGCTCTTTGCCACACGAAATTTAGTTTAAAAGGTTAAACTCAAGACGTTTATGACAAAGTAGATCAAAATGTATTTTTGGACTCTCATGACAAAGTTCTAACAAAAAAATTTTAACTGATGAAATCAAATATAGATCGTATTACTTATTTTGATAATAACATCCATTTTATGGTTAAAATAAATAAATTTTTAACTCACAAATTTAAATAAGTAATATATGAAAAAACACATTAGAAAAAATTTAATTACTTTTAAACTTAGTCGGGAAATACATCCAAACAGCCTAAATAAAAGGAAGGTTTTTAAAAATAGACTAAGAAAGGAAAACATTTGAAAAATAGTCTTCAAACAATCATCCTTCCAAAAATACCCCTTATAGAAAAATTGCAACCAAAGTCACTACTATGTATAAAAACCTTCAAATAGGTCCTCAAGAAAATATAAACCAAAAATCTTTAATTAATTTAAACCCAAATATTATAGAAGATTTTATTGATCTAAGAAATGCAACAGAAAGTGAATTAAATCATTTAGAAGAAGAACTGAAAGGATTCTTTACAGAATATTTAGATCCAAAATTAAAAAATAAAAACGTCTCTATAGATAATAATACAATCAAAACAGAAAATGATATGTATAAATTAATTCTTAATTTGAGAAGAAGAATTAAATAATTAAATAAAATCATTAAAGAAAAAATATTAATAAAAAATAGTGAATTTTATAAATTTTATTGTGACATTTTAGATACTTATAAAGATTTTAATTGGCTCAAAAATATTAACCACTCCGCTGCACACTCCGAATAAATGGTATCAGAGCCATGTTACGAACCAAAAATTATGATGAATATAGTAGATGAAGAAAATATAATTGAAGAATTTTTGAAAAAAGTTGAAAAATATAAAAAAACCTAGTTATCCTTATTTGCCTAAAAACACCACAAATGAAAATTTTGGAGATATACATAAAAGATTAGAAAACCTAGAACATAATCTACAAGTAGGAAATGCTCTTTTAGATAAAAATCTTAAGGGAAAAGATAGGATTATAATTAATCCACCTCAAGATTTTAGGATAACACAAAAAAAAAAAATAATAAAGGGAAAAAATATGAAGAAAAATAATATATGATAACAGACGTAGAAGAAATAGAACAAAAATTCTTAGAATCTACAGGAGAAGAGTA